ATCTAGACCTTCCACGTCGAATCCTACTTTAACAACACCAAACGGAAGGCAGGGGCCGGGGAATACATGTCCGTCTATCATGATTAAAATTTGTTAATAGAAATTTGATGAAATAAATAAATTTAAAGCCAATGCTAACCTTTAGCGGTTCCGATAAGAGGATCAACGAACCCAGTAATATTAGCACGATCATAATTTTCGATTTGTTCTTAAATAATATAATTTCAGATAAAATTTCGCATTCTGAGATAATAAAAATATAAAATAATTTTAATGAAATTTAGATTACCATCTAAATTATCTACAATAATTCTCTGTAATGATTCTCTGCCAGCAGGAATATGGTACACTATTACTAGGAACAGAATTGATATGAAAAATGAAAGAATAAAGACTTTTATCCACTTATCCATAATTTTATTTTTTAAAAAAATAAAAATTTTCAAGAACGGACGTCATAAATCAAATGAAAACAATGTTAAGAATATTTATTATAAATTTCGTGTTACTTTGCGTACAAGGAACGACCTCAGCTACATAAATTGCTAAATCTGTATCCGATTATCATATACACCTTACGTGTAAGTACACGTCTACTTGTAACAAAAAAATAACTGGTAAAATTTTCCATATTTGATATAGACCTGTAATGAACTTTATAACACTTGCCGTATAAAATAGATCCTACCAAATTTAGTTGAAATGTTGTTTGAGTATACTGTACTGTACGTTTATTTTATGGCTTTACAACCAATAAATATAATTGAAAATTCTATTAATGAATTCGGAAATTTCTAGCGATCATTTCTCAATAACTAGATTAAATTCTGTAAAAATTTTTCTTTTGATTTAATAAATTTGTAAAGTTAAAATCAAAAAAGAAAATTTTTTTTATACGTATAATATAATGAACGTTAATATTAAACAACAAAAAGAATTATTTTAAACCAAAAAAAATAAAAAATTTAATAAATATATAGTTATTGCAAAAATAATATTTACAGTAATATTCAATAAAGCGAAAATTTTATTTAATCATTCACGTGAAATTATTATTAAAAAAGACCTGAAAGTGCTAAAACTTAAAGGAGCAAAACGTTAATATTAAACGACGAAAAGAATTATTTAAAACAAAAAAAATAAAAAATTTAATAAATATGTAATTATTGCGAAAATAATATTTAAGAATTAATTTATTCTTTAATTGCGGCGCATTGGGTGGCTACAAGCCACCATGATCAGTGAGGTAATTGGCTCCGTCCAATGTAAAACGATAATTGTATTCGTCCAATGGGAAGTGGGGGGAAATTAGTAAATCCATTAGCGCCAGATATTAAACTTTATTGCATAATCTTTATTAAATAAGCAGCATAAATTGATGTATAAACTGAGACGAGATATGCTCCAAGAAAATGGCATATTTCAGCCGGGTATTGCCGTCATCGGTTGAATTCGCGATGCGTAGCATCAGTCGGTGGTTTTCCCACCGGCACAAGGCAGGTCGACTTTGACAAGAAGTTTAAGCTACCACGAAATGGCAGGATTCTACGTTGATTTATGTGGATGGGAGGGCTTGGGTGCGAATCTTGCCTCAGGCGGAGATGGCTGCTGATCCCTTATGGCGGCATCTTCGTATATCTGCTTCTGACAATAAAATATTGTTAATGATATCGTCATAGCTCCCAATTAGGCAGTTCATTAACTCCTTTACTTATCTGGCTTCGTAATTCTCACACTACTTGATTGAATTCCCGATTAGGATTAACAGCTAAATTCAGGCTTGACCGGATTGCTCTCGGCATATCCCTGCTTAGCTATCTTTTCGATCTGTTGACTTACGTCAACTTGAATTATTGGCTCTATGTCATGTGATTGGACACATTCGTACCTGAAGAACGTAGATCAGATTACTACATCCAATCATAATCAAGATTTTGTCGAATGCAAAACTCGGGTAGAACTATACACTTTGTACGTTGTACTACGTTCTTGTACTACGTTCCTGGTTGGCAATTATATAAATAGGAATAAAAAAGAGCAACTTTGTTTTTTTTTCATTTTCAATATTGAAAAAAATGGAATGTAGTTTGTGCAAAAAGCCTACAAATAAATGTTGCTCTAGATGTAAAGTTAGATATTATTGCAGCCAGACATGTCAAAAAGAAGACTACGCAAATCATGTGCTTAGTTGTCCACGAAGATCAGCAGACATTCTTGCTAAAAATGTTTTTCAAGACCGGATGCCCACAAATCCCGCAGTATTATATGAATATGGCTTTGACAATTGCAAGAGTTCTCAAGATCGAACGATGCTTTTGGGCATGTACATTGGCCTTATAAAAATTATATGTAGCGCTTCTCAAGTACATTCATGGTGGGAAAATGTCGAATTATCGCTTAAAATTAAAAAGGCATATGATGATGGTGGTTATACCAGCGAATATTATAATTGGTTCTTAAGAAATGAACATATATTACAAGGTCTGCATAAATATGAAGAAGAAAAATCATCCAAAATTATATTAGATAAATTTTTATCATTTGCTAAACCATATCTTTCCAAACATGACCAAGCAATTTCTATCGATTCTCTTTCGAAATCGAAGCTTAATGTTTGTGTTCTCTATTCAGGCATAATTCAAGATTTATACCAAGGATTGAAGAACGAAACTGGATTGACTTTGGATTTTGTACTTGTAAAATTGGTAATTTTAGTGATGAAAATAGTATTCGTAATATTACAGAAGAAGTTCGATTGCGAGATTTGTATAAAGAACTTATAGTTGAAAAGGGTTGTAAGATCGATGAATTCAATGATGCATACATGTCCGGAACAGTGCTAGATTTGTTGAAAAGAAAATGTAACAATTATAGTTGGTTATCAGAAAGTAAGATAGAAATTTTTGGATATAACCAACAAATAAAGAGCGTCTATTTTCTCAAGCAATATGTTCTATGCGAATCCGTAGATCTTATCCCTTCTGTAAAGGTTGATTATGGATTATTAATTGTCGCACTGAAGATGAGAAAAAACAACTTAGACATACGTACAAGAAATTGATCACTAATCCTAAATTTGATTCGCTTGATTTACATAAAGCTTGTACAGCAGGAAAAATTTTTGATTATGTGAGTTCTATTCTTCCTAATGAAAAGTTAAAAGCTGATCTTTTTAAAAATCCGTACCCCTTAAAAGATTAAAATAAGTAATTTTAATAGATTTCTACAATGCTATTATTTTCGTTACTATACACTGACACGACAGACTTAATTTTTTTAAGAATATTATATTTCCTATATTATATTCCTATATCATTATTCTGTATATTATTATTATATTGACTCATACATATATATATTAAATAAACAATTATATTATTCGTTAGTAAACGGTGTGTTTGGCACTTAGGAGGCTGTAAAGATTATGCATGAAAAGTATATCAACTCATTAGTCTCAATACAGTGAAAATCTTGTCAACGAACGATCATTATTTGCGAGATCAGATGACTTTAAGGGATCACATGTTCTAGTTGACATTTATGAAATTTCCGGTTAATATGATGATTGCATATGATTATTGGAAATGATCTATTAATATTAGAGAACGGGTAAGGGAAAAAAGGGGTAATCATATGGTTCTGAGTATGTAATAAATAGGGATGTTAATCGGTTCTTTGGGATCGGGTCCCAACCAGTGTTTCGGCCTAAACCGAAAGTTTCGCCCGGGCGAAACTGGCGAAACCTCCGAAACCTAGTTTCGCCAAAG